CCTGAGATTCTGTGATTCTGTGATTCTGAGGAACGTGTGGCACCTGGGGCTTGGAGTGTAGAAGTGACAAGGACCAGGTGGGAAATGGGGTTTTTGTCTGAGAAACAGCGTTTTGGAGAGGGGAATCACAACAAGAGGGAATTTTGCTGAACCAAAGTGCGATGATCCAGAGTTTTGACTGAAGTGAAATGATTTGATGTGTCAAAACCCTGTTCTTCATTCTGAGTTGGTGTTTTGAAATGAAAAGTGTTGTTTTGTCTTCAAATATTGATGTGAAATGAAGTTTTTCACTTATTCTCCCAATCAGGAAGACATGGGTGAGATGAAAAAAAAAAAAAATCATCATTAAAATTGATGTTTTACCACAGCCAGGCTTTTATTCAGAGGAAACCATCTTTTCTAACGGGAAAAACACTGTGCGGTAAAAATGTTCATTTCTGATAAGAAATGTGGCCAGGGCTGACCAAAGCTGTGCTGGTGTTGGCAGCGTGGGGATGAAAGCATCCCAGCCCTGTCCCTGCTGGGTCCTGCGTGGTCAAGTGTGGCCAGAAATTCACCTTCCAACGTCTCAAGAGGAAAGGGAACATTTCAGGCTGTGTCTGAAAGAGAGAAAAAGACTCAAGTTTCTGCTGTTTGCTTCCCTGTGTGAAATCCAGCCCCCCAAAACCCAGGCAGGTTTGCTGCTGGCAGAGCTCGGGCTTGTGGCTTTATTTGCTTTCTGTGCAATACCCACAGCACGTGTTGCAGCATCCTGGGTGGGAATTGAGCTGCTTGTGAGCTGAAATTGAAAATTATAGTTTGTCGTGTGTGTTTGGGAGAGAAAGAGAGGTTTATGAGAGGGAAGTGCGTGTATGTGCCTGCACATGCGTGTGACAAGAGTCTTTGTATGGAAGTGTGTGTGTGTGTGTGTGTGTGTATATATGTGTATATATATATATATATGTACATACACACTGAGATACTACAAACCAGATAATATTTCTGGAGGGAACTGAGGCTGATCACCAAAGAGAAAGCCTTGGTAGTATGGAGAGAGCAAATCCAGCCGCTTTTTGACCCTCTTTTATCCTTTCCTTTGGGGGATGAGGGTGAATGCGTGGCCCAGCCACCTTCTCATTGCCCTCCACCTCCTGTCCATCTCCCAGCTTTGCTCTATCCTTGCAGGTCCAGGCGAACGTGGAGAAGTCCTTGACGCTCTTTGGGCAGCTCCTGAACAAGAAGCACTTCTTGCTGACCTTCATCCGCACCCTGGAGGCTCAGCGCAGCTTCTCCATGCGGGACCGCGGCAACGTGGCGTCCCTCATCATGACGGCGCTGCAGGGTGAGATGGAGTACGCCACAGGTGTGCTGAAGCAGCTCCTCTCTGACCTCATCGAGAAGAACCTGGAGAGCAAGAACCACCCCAAGCTGCTCTTGCGGAGGTGAGCGTCCATCCGAGAGGTGGAAGCTGTGAGACAGGCTCTTGTGAGCGTGGGTGTCCTTTAGGGATGCCATCAGTGATGGCTTTGGTGTTGGCTATGGGTCTGTGGTCAAGCATTTCCTTTCCTGTCTGCTTGCATGTGTGAGAGGGATGTAAGGACCCACCTGGAGAACATCATAGGGTGTTCTCACTCTGGTTTGGTTCATGTGGGTTCATGTCTGGTCAGGAGGGAGCAACGTGGGCTCCGCAGAGAGGATGCAGGCTGGTGTTAGATGCTGTTGCGCATCACTGCAGTGATGCTTCCGCCCTCACTCACTTCTCCAGGTGACTGAGTGGTCCCCACATCTCTCAATGCACGGAGCAGCTCTTGCCTTGCTGCGTGGGAATTTTGCTGGGGAAGCCAAGCAGATCTCTGCAAGCTGGGAGTCTCACCAGGGCCGGAGGGAGCGCGAGCAGGAGGCAGTGTGCCAAGCCCTGCCGTGAGCCTGCCGCTCCCATCAATATTTAACGATAGCTCTGAGCTCTCCTTCATCACGGGCTGATGAATATTGAAAGATACACCAAGTACCGAACAAAAACAATTAATAAGCTCTACCAGCCCTGCTCCAGGCCCTCCATGTGCTGTCTTCTCCCTCTGCACACTTGATGTGCCTCCCCATCTCAGCCTCCAGCAGAGATGCAGGGATGGCTGAGAGCCATGGGGCTGCCATCTCACCAGAAAGGTGACATGAAGAAAACCAGAGCATCTTTCAAACACAAACCAACGTCCATGATGTGGCCAGACCAGGCCAAGCCTGGTGGGTTTGGTGTGCCTCGCCTCAGAGAAGAGTGTGAACTGGTCTCAGTTACATCCCTGCTACCTTCCCTCAGCTGCTTGCTTACTCTCTCTGCTTCGTTTATCACATTACAAGGGTGCCCGTGATTTCTCAAAGCACCTTATTAGCAATGTATCAGAGAGGGGATGTGGTGGGTTTTAGCGGTGCCCACCTCTGTCCCCCATCCCTGTTCCCTGAGCGCATCCTTAGGCTTTTCCCTTCTTCCTGTCCCTCCACCACACCAGGCTTCACTGAAATATTTAAACTGCATTTCCAGCTTCTGAGCCTCTCGGAGCAACACGAAACCGCTGCCATTGGAGCAAAACTCTGGAATGAAGCAAATCAATAAAATATAAATAAAAGGCAGCGCGCAGAGGCCAGCAGCTGCAGTGGCTGAGCCGTGGGAGCAGTGCAGGGGCAGAGCCCAGCCCTCACCAGCACATCAAGAGCTGAGGGCTATCGGTCCTGAGCCCTGGAGCCTGGGGGAGGCTTAGAACAGGGATGAGGTCCCCTGGCCAATTCCTTGCTCATGGCTCCCTGAATGATGCTTAAAAGAGATTTTGTTCTTCCTGCAGCTGTGGCATGGAGCAGGCGATGTCCAGGGCTGTGTTTCCTCCATCCTTGTGATTAGCCCTGCTGTTGGGTGCGAGAGTGTACTTACCAGCCAGGGCAACTGGATTAACATTGATCCAACTGGGCAGAGCTGTTATTTATTTATTTAGTTATTGGATAATCCCCCTGTTGCTGTGGCATCTGGCTCTGTCACGGATAAAGACAAACATCTGCTGGATCCTGGGTGCTGCCACTCGGATGAGTGGGGTAGGGGGGTTATGTCTGTTGAAGGGCTTCAGTCCACCCCTCCTTGCTTTCCCCTGCACATCCCTTTCCTTCTTGCTCTTTTGCTTCCCTGTGATGGATTAATTTTTCCCGGTGGGGTGCAGGAAGGTTTCCCTGGTCTGGGGGCTCAGGTGTTACCATCCCTTAGTGATTTAAGGAGGGTTGTGCTTTTCCAGGGAAAGCAAAAAGGACTGAGCCCCATTAGCACAAGAGAAAGCCTTGCATGGGACCATGGGACTCTGAGTCAGCTTGAATAAACTCTAGGAAAGTGGATTTCCTACCCCTGGAAATGCTACTTTCCCATCTGTGGGGCACAGCATTGTGCATTGGGATCTTCCTGGTAGCTCTGAGGTCTGAGTTCCTTCTGGGTTTTGTCTCTCGAGTCAACCCCTGATGCAACAGGAACACTTGTGAGTTATTTGTGTGCTTTCAGGCGCACCTGCGTTTGCAAGTGGCTGATCTGATGATTAATGACTGGATAAGCTGAAGCAGTGTAACTGGAAAGGTTCGGGGGATGGCTGGTGTTTTTACTTTAAAGGGAGTGAAAGCTGCTTTAAAAATAATGTGTCACCCTCAGCTTCCCCCATGCCAGGCTGTCCCCTGGTTCCAATGGGATGCAATGCAAGAAACAAACTTCATTTAAGTAGAAGGTAGCAGGGAGAGGTGGAAAGGTGGCCATCCCCTGGGCAAGACTCCCCATGGGACAAAGTCGTGCTCGGCTCTCTCTGGATCTCCAAATACACCAGAAACCAATTTACTGCTCCCTTCTGAGGGGCTGCTGTGGCTCAGCCTTGCAGATGAGCAGGCTTTTCACTGCAGCTTTTGCTGTCTGCTTGTGCCTCTTTGCATGCAGGCTCCTGCCTTTCCAGATGTGACCTTTTAAAGCCCCAAAATAATTTAGCCACAGTCCAGGACTGAGGTGACAACAGGTGAGATCAGAGACCTTTAACGATGGCTTTGCTCTGCCTTCCCTACAGAACGGAGTCGGTGGCAGAGAAGATGCTGACAAATTGGTTCACGTTTCTGCTGTACAAGTTCCTGAAGGTGAGTTTGGGAAGGGCTGGCAGCCCTGCATGGACAGGGAGGTGGTTGCTGCCTCTGGGATGAGCAGTGTGGTACCCAGAGCCTGGGCTGGTGTGTTCCTGAGTGCTGCTGCTCCCTCCTGGTGCAGAGATCCCTTCCCAGGCCTCCGTTTGTGTCTTGGGTTTTTGAGATCAGTGATTCTGGGTCTTGTTTTGGGGAAGGAGCTAAGATTGAGAAAGGAAATCCAGACTGGGATTGCTTAATGCACAGTGGGTTTGAGATCTTCATAAAAACGGTGCCTGGAGAAAGGATGAATGAAGCCGCTCAGCTGAGTCTTGAATCCCTTTGGAGTGGTCCCTGTTCCTCCCTTCTCGTCTCTGCCCAGGGAGCTGGTCCTTCTGTAGGCACGACTGTGTTTGGAGGCACGCAGCCGTTTTTGTGGGATTTCATCCCTCATTAAGATAAAGAGGGTTTGAACCATTTCCAGCCAAGAGATGAGCGCGAGCAGGAGCCTGTGCAGAACTCAAGTGATCGTCAACGAGAGGTGATTTATAATATCACTTGCATGCACTTGGCTTTTTGCCTCCATTGAGGGATTGCCCGTATCTGTACAAATCTCGCTGTAGCATGCGGGGAGATTGCTTTCCAGGAGTGTGAGAGGAGGAAAGCGGTGCTGTCTGTGGGGAGATGTCAAACCTCCTGACACCTCTTTGTGCTGGGGCTTTGCTCAGCAGTGGCCGTGCCCGGTGGGACATGGTAAGACCCTTGCAAATGGCTCATTGGACTCCTTGGGGTTGGTGGGATGGGCAGGAGCAGCTCTCACTGTGGATAAACTCCTTCAGGGCTCCTTGGAGTGGCCAATGTTGTGATTTTGCCGAGCAAAACGCAGTGCACAGCCTTCAGACACCCACAGTGGCGTTTGGAGACGTTGCCTTCGTGTGTAGTACCTGATGCCCTTGGCCTGCCCCTGGCTGGGCCACATGGGCAGGTGATGGGGACACGTTCACCTTGTTCAGAAACTGCTGTGGATCAGCTCACGTGCCACCGCTGTCCCATATCTGTCCTTGTACAGCCCTGTCCCCCTTCGGAGAGGCTACTGGGTGCAGGTCTGAGGATAAGGAGTAGCAGAAGGGAGAGGCAGGATGGGACCAGGGCAATGCCTTTTCATGAAGTCCTTGGCTAAGTCATGGCTTTGGCAGGAGAAATTCCCTCCAGTCTCTGGGTGGTAGCAGCAGGAGAGAAAAGCCTGATCTGGATGCACTGTTACAGGAGGAACATAGGCAGAGGGCTTGGGTAAACCTGGTGGATCATCTCCTTGAGGAAGTGGTTGAAACTCCATCACTTGGGTCACTTGAGTTAGACTGGAAGAGGCTTGAGGATGTGGTCGTGGCCTCTCCTGGGTCACCAGAGGAGACCCTCAGGGCCATTTCTGCCTGTCTCCTTATTCTGAGGATCACAGGTGGCATCAAAAGTAAGGAGAAACCCGTGGGGGAGATGGAGAGGTATCACAGCAGACAGCTTGCCAGCAGGGAAACATATGCCTTGCACCCAGCCATGGTAATCATCTGTGTAAATTGAGGCAGGGGACGTGTGACCAGCTGCTGGATCAGCTCTCGGCAAACCTGCCCGGAGCAGGGCCAGGTGCTTGGCATCGCGTGGCCGTGGTGTGGGGGGATGAGGGACGGGCGCGGGGCCAGGACAGCCACCCCTGCCCAGGCCCAGCAGCATGGGGAGCCAGCAAGGGCTGGGCCTTTCATTGAGCCCCTGCGGTAGCATTTATCAGACTGTTAATGAGCCCCCCCGGGGGCAGGGAGAGGGATGGATTGAGACAAGCGCTGAAAAATGTGCGATATTAGGTGCCTGATGAGCTAGATCTAGTCAATAAGAGTGAGCGTCGGCTGCTCGCCTCAGCCTGATTCCCGCACACCAATGCATGCCTGGGGGTGTTTGCAGTTGCCCTCGCATGGAGAGATCTCCCCCCCACAAACCTCCCCTTGCTCAAGCCCCCAGCAGGGAGCAAACTGCATTGGGCACGGCTGTGTTTTGGGGACAGGCTGCCCCCATCAACCTGTGGGGCCATCCACCATCGCAGCGGTCCCCTCTTGTGTCTCACCTGATGGAGATCATCTCAGGGTGGTGGTTTCTGCATTCACTGTTCATTCTGGTAGTCTTTGTCAGAGCTGAGCCCTAAACCATCCCCAACACCTCATCCCTCAGTGAGCTGTGACCTACGGCGGTGTCTGGGCCCAGGTCTGCAGGAATCAGTGGGGTCGGTCAGGTTGGGAGTGAGGGTTTGCATTTTAAGGCTAGGACTCACATTTAGGACAGGTGGGGAAGCCAAGCTGTGATGGAGGCGATGCCGTGATGCCCAGAGTGCAACCAGGCCGATTTTACTGATTTTACCTTACCGTACCCTTGCTGGGCAGCTGGTACAGCGCAGTGTGGCACCTACCTTGGGTCTCTCACTTCTCCAGGCTGACTTAATGAAGCCAAGTTTGCAAATGGAACATAATTTCAAAGACGGGCGTGTTGTCGGAAGGTCTGGGGATGATGTATGCCTGTTCCTGCTCGTTAGCAGCTGTCTCTTTAATTACCGCAGATGCTAACGAGATACTAACAGCATATGGTGACAGGGAGAGCAGCCACACTTTGCACCAAAGTACAATTTATTTGCAAGTCGGCTGGGAGGGAGGGGCGAGGGCTGGTGGGGTAAAACCTGCTGGGACTTCTCCCTGTTTTCCCTGCTCTGGATCTCTGTGTCTGGAAGGGCAGGGCTCACTGGGATGCAGCTTGGTGGAGAGGTTGGGTCCTGGTTGAGAAAGAGGTGTCCATTTCCAGTCTTCCTTTGCCAGCTCATGGCTCCAGGCTGGTTGATGCCTCCAGCCTTGGTGGGTCCTTTTCTGGTTTTGAGGCACTTCAGTGCCAGCATCTTTGGGGGAAGTGTTTGGTCCAGTTGCCCTCTCCCACCTGGGACAGATGCTGGTGTGGCTCTGGCTGTAGACTACAGGATGCTGATATGGCAGCTGGCTCTGACTATGGGGGACATGGAGGTGGCAAGTGGTTTAACTGTAGGAAAGCGCATTGCTTGGTCCCCTCCATCGGCTGGAGACTTGGTGTAGGGTTGTCAGTCCTCAGACCCAACCTGCTCTTTGCTAGCCCTGAATTAACCTTTTTAGCTCGTTTTTGGCCCGTTGAGTGAGCAGAATCCACCAGGGAGTGTCTGGGAAGCTGAGCCTGGGTGTTGATAAGTGAGGGAATAACCTCCAGCAGGCTTGAAAGGAGAGCATGAGTTTGTTCACGGGATGAATTTTGCCACATGTCCTCGCAGCCTTGAGATTCTTTATAAAGCCACGTATGGGGCTGGATGCTGCAAGGCCACAGCAGCTTCTGCCATGGTGGTGGTCCCTGAAAGGTAAAGCTGGTGCCTGGCACCTTCTCTCCCCTCTCCCTCCATCCCCTGCTCGCAGGAGTGGGCTGGGGAACCGCGCTTCATGCTCTACTGTGCCATCAAGCAGCAGATGGAGAAGGGACCCATTGATGCCATCACAGGAGAGGCTCGCTACTCCCTCAGTGAAGACAAGCTGATCCGGCAGCAGATCGACTACAAAATGCTGGTTAGTGCAAGCGGGAGCCTCAGGGGTGCTGGTGCTTACCAGGACTGTCAGGTCCAGCTGAGATGGCCCAGGATTGTTTCTCTGATGCCTTTCTGGGAATAGTTGGAGATTTGGGGATTGGAGGGGAGAAATGGGGAGAAAGGGGAGCAGGAATATGCCACGTGTCTGCCTTGGAGGTGGACAGCATGGCCTGTAGACAGCGTAGCCCTGTGTCTTTGGACCTGCTGTTATAACCAGCGTGTCACATCCTCTCACTTGAGTCTTTCTGCCCCCGCTGTGCTGCACAGACCCTCAACTGCGTGAACCCCGAGAACGAGAACGCCCCAGAGATCCCGGTCAAGGTGCTGAACTGCGACACCATCACGCAGGTGAAAGAGAAACTGCTGGATGCCGTCTACAAGGGGGTGCCCTATTCCCAACGACCCAAAGCTGGAGACATGGACCTGGGTAAGAGAAAGGCAGACCGACACTAGTCATGGGGTTCAAGAGGTGGTGGGAGGGCTCTTCTCTTGATGCCCAGACTGTGCCCCTTCCCTTGCCTTTGTGCTCCAAGCCCGCCACTAACCACGAGCCCTTCTCCGTTGTGGGGACAGAGTGGCGGCAGGGCAGGATGGCCCGGATCATCCTGCAGGATGAAGATGTCACCACCAAGATTGACAATGACTGGAAGAGGCTGAACACCCTGGCCCACTACCAGGTAAGGCTGTCTGTGGTGGACAACACGGAGCGGTCACCGGCTGCTTTGAGTGTGAGGACCTCTTCTCCCTCCTCAGCTTGGTCAGGGCCTGGGATGGAGGTCTGCAGTCACTTTTCTGCGTGGTCCCCACATTTATGGTCCTTCCATTCAAGAAGACATTGAATGGGGCATCTTCAGGACTCATAGAGGCTGATTCCTGCTCTGACCTTGCTTTGCCATTTTCATACCAAGGTTTCTGGTGTGTTCTGACCCAGGGGTAGATGTGTAGACCTCCTCTGCAAGAGATGGATGTCCCTGGGGTGGGATGTGGTGTAGCTTCATTCCTTCCTGCTGCGGGGCTGTTCCTGCTGTGCCTCTCTGGTGTTACCACCCACTCACGCTGTCTCTGTCCCCAGGTGACGGATGGCTCTTCGGTGGCCCTGGTGCCCAAGCAGAACTCGGCGTACAACATCTCCAACTCCTCCACCTTCACCAAGTCCCTCAGCAGATACGGTGAGCGTGCGGGGACGTCCTCCGCTGTGCTGCCAGGGGAGGCGGCACCAGGCTGGGCTTGCAGACCGAGCCACAGGGCAGGTGATTGTAATTGAGAACAAGGTCCTTCAAACCCCCAGCTCCCCTGCGCCGTGCCGTTTGTTCTGGTGTCACAGAGGGAGCAGATGCCCTCGGAGTCATTGCTCTTTGCAACACTCGGGGGAGAAAGACACGTGCCAGATGGCTGCTGCTCAGGGATCCCCTCCCTTTTATTCCCCTGAAATCTACTTAGAACAGGCACAGAGGCACTTTGCACTTAAATGAGCAGAGTCGAGGACTCCAGCGAATGTGCTGGCAATTGTGCTTCAGCCTTGGGTTGGAAAGGGAATAGCATGGTCAGCTCAGACCCACACAGGAGGCATCTGTGGTCCTGGCAGCAGAGACTGGATCCCACAGCTCCTGTTTGGTGATGTGGGGAGGGAAGGGGGATGATGGGGCTGGTGGTGAGTTGTAGATGGGCAAGGGTATGAGCATCCCCCCATGCTTGGTGCTTACAGAGAGCATGCTGCGGACAGCCAGCAGCCCCGACAGCCTGCGCTCGCGGACGCCCATGATCACTCCCGACCTGGAGAGCGGCACCAAGCTCTGGCACCTGGTGAAAAACCACGACCACATGGACCAGCGGGAGGGCGACCGGGGCAGCAAGATGGTCTCCGAAATCTACCTGACCCGCCTGTTAGCCACCAAGGTATGGCACAGAGACACAGAGCTGCCACGTAGCTTTTCGGATCTGCATGGGGAGGGATAGTGATTCAGGTTGTCCAAAAGTGGTAAGCGCTGCTTTTTTTATTAGCTGCCTGCTTCAGCACAGGAGGAGCTATGCTCTTGGTCTTTGGGCTTTCCTGAGCTGGAGGTGATGTTTTTGGATGTCAAAACCCTCAATGAACAGCCCTTGAATGGATTTTCCTATTTGCTTTTTGCACCCTTTGGCATTTTTAATGTTTCCTGTATCCTTGAGCAGCTGCAAAGCAGAGATGCCCTGAGGCAGGCACCTCATCCCCTTTGGTGTTTGGGAGAAAGCTGCAAAATCAGTGATGTGGGAAAGGTAGTTAACATTTAACCCCTTCCCTCAGCACACACAAAACCATCTCTAGTGCCAAGCAGGTGCTGTGTGTGTGAGATGAGAGGAGCAGCGGGCAAATTTGATGAAAAGGCCGAACTTTGGTTAAAGGCCCATCACTCTGCTGGTGCCGGGCATTGCTGAGCACCCTGTTCTCTCTCTCCTCCCCAGGGCACCCTGCAGAAGTTCGTGGATGATCTGTTTGAGACCATCTTCAGCACAGCGCATCGTGGGAGCGCGCTGCCCCTCGCCATCAAGTACATGTTTGATTTCCTGGATGAACAGGCTGATAAGCATCAGATCAACGATTACGATGTCAGGCACACCTGGAAGAGTAACTGGTAATGGAGGGGGTGCTGGGCAGGGGGGTAGCGATACCACAGCAAATGATACTTCCTACCCCTTCCACAGGGAGCAGAAATATGTCCCTGGAAATGATCCAGGACAAGAGAGGCCCATATCTCTCTATTTCGTGTGTGGGTAAAGCCCTTGCATGCCTTCCTGCAGCAGAAAACATCCCAGGAATGCAGTGCTCCCTCAGCCAATCTGTCCCCAAATCCTGGCCACCACGCTCCCCCTGACGGCTGCAGTCACCGCAGTGGCTCTGTTCCCACCTCACCGTGAGCAAACACCACTCGGGCTTCTCTATGCTCCGGAGATGCCAGCCCCAGTTCTCATCCTGACTGTCCTAAAGGTGTTTCCACGCTCCCTTTCATCATTCAGCTGAGCATGCCCTGGCAAAGTAATGGCTCTCTGAGAAGGGAGAGGAAGCAGTGGCTGAGACCCCCATAGGTGCTGATGAGACCCCTGTATGTGCCATGCTGAGGCCGGGGCTCACAGGCGTTGGCTTCTGCTCCACAACTCCCCCATCTGCGTTTTTCTCTTCTGCTGCCTCACTGATTTCATCTCTCTGATCTTGCCGTTACTGGAGACGGGTATGTACGTTCCCGTGTCTGGCATTTGTTAAATGGCAGCCAAATTGCTTTTGTATAGTTCAGTAACTGTTGGCAATTAGCAGGGCAGGAAAAGAAACATTTTTAAATGGAGATGTGAGGGTGCGGAAGTGCTTGGAACTGATTTATAACTCAGCTTTCTATATTAAAAGAAGGAACGAAAAGCAAAAGAGGAGAAAAAAAGCCCTGCTCCGCAGGGGCTGGGCACGCAGGCTCCTGCATACTAATGCTTGTGCTTATCTCTGGGCGCTAATTCGATGTGTGGAGCTAATTTCTCGAGGCCATTGCCTTCACAAATGAAATATGTACATGCACCCGGTACCCTCATTAGGAAAGTCCTGGGGAATGAAGTGTGTTTTGTCTAAGATAAAAAGCGTTTGCTGTGTGGTGGTGCTGAGGGATGACAGAGTGGAGAGGCTTTCTGATGGGGGAAGACCCTGAGATGCCCCTGGGAGAGGAGAGGGGCGGCAGGATTGGGAAATGGAGCCAGGGAGGTTGGCACATGTGTTGGTATGCAGCAAACATCCCATCAGGAGACCCACTGCCTCTACAGCCCAGGGCTTCATTCCCAGCATCTGAGGCTGCCTAAATTCTTCTCTGGTGCTAAATGTGCTAATGAGTCCCTGGAGGAGTCCAGTTAACCACAGGAGATGTGTGAAATGCCACACGGCGCTGCAGACAAGGCTTAGTGGTGCAAGAGGAGGGGACCATGCCTGGCTCTGCAAGGGCTCTTCAGTCCGAGTGCATGCTTGGAGAAACCACAGAGCTGAGGAATTTCTCCAGGGAGAGCTGTGGCTGTGTGGGGGTGGGTGGAGGAGGTGGTGTTGCCATGGGGCAGAGGGGAACAGCCGTTTACCCCGGGTTGGTTGCAGTCTCGGGGTGCTGGGAAGAGCATATCCTGCCCAATTCTGAGTGATGAGGAGCTCCTCCTCCAGCGTGTGCACTGGCTGCCACATGGGGCTCGGTTCAGGTGCCGACTTCTGTTTCCTTCTTCCCTCAGTCTACCTCTACGTTTTTGGGTGAATGTGATTAAGAACCCCCAGTTTGTGTTCGACATTCACAAGAACAGTATTACTGATGCCTGCCTCTCCGTGGTGGCTCAGACATTCATGGACTCCTGCTCAACTTCTGAGCACAAGCTAGGAAAAGACTCTCCTTCCAACAAGCTACTGTACGCCAAGGACATCCCCAACTACAAGAGCTGGGTAGAAAGGTGAGTAGGCTTGGCAATAGGGCCTTGTGTCACTTGGAGGGCACATACGTGGGTGTGGGGACTTGGGTTTTTGGGAGGACTCCTCTTGGTTGCTGTGTGAAGAGGGACCATACCAGCGCTTGCACGAGGTGGTCCTCTCGTTTGGGAGATGATGCTTTCTCGTGACTGTCTCCTGGAATGAGTGGCAGTGAGTGTTTGACGGAGCAGTTTATGACTTGCTTAAGGAGCGCTAAAAGCAACCTCCGCTTTTAGGTTGTCTGATGTTTTCTGTTGTGAAATCTTGGTCGGTGCTAGGGAATTGCTAACACCTCCCTTGATTGCTTTCGAAGAGCAGTGAAAAGTCAGCCTTGGACTAGAGAAGCAGCTTTTTTTGTACCACAACAAACCCGGGTTTTGCTGAAACGGTTGGAAATTACCATTTCCCGTATCTCATCCATCAGCACATCTCACCTGGGACACTGATGAGAACACCTGCTCCGAGGTGGTGCTTGGGCTGCTGTCACCGTGCCAAGGAGCGGGGAGAGGAGCAGGTCCCCCAGCTCCTCCTGACACCCTCCACGGTCACTGGTAGCTGATGAGGGACGTCCTTCTGTCCCGCTGCATTAATGCGATGTTAAAGGTTTGGGGTTTGAATGCTACTGATTGCAAATTGATGCGCTCATGCACAATGCTGTTTTTAGCTTTATCCTTTTGGGAGAGAAACCTAGGAGATGTCCTCCAAATAGAGCTGCTGTTAAATGTTGCTGTGTTGTAAAGTGGGACTTCATCGAGCTTGAAAAGTGGCAGATTTCAGGTTGCTGATGCGACTTTTCCCTTGTGCTGATAAGAACTGAGGACCCTTCCCTTTTTCAGCATGTGGACCAGATACAGAATGAACCGAATGAAAGAAGCCCAGGCAACAATAAGCGTTGTATTTTCTATTTTGTGTGGGACTTGATGGCCTAGGTCATCCTTTGGATGTACTGCTTGTACACAGTTATTTTTGCTATATCACTGGGTCGTGCCTGGTGCTTTGCACGTACAAAGACAAGCTTCTTCCCTTGAGGAAGACAGGGCTCAGATCAGAAAAACCCTGAAATATGATGGCTGAGACGAGGTATGAGCTGCATTGAAATAGGAGAAAATTCTCTGCACGGGGCTTGGAGGGGACTTTGGAGTGGGGTCCTATAGGAACATCACCAAGTTTGTAAGGTGAATTTCTCAAGATTTGCCATCTCTGTAACAAAAAATACTCAGCTCTATGTGTGCCTGGAGGAAAAAAAAAGGTATAAAACCATCCTGAAGTGAAGCATTGGTCTAGACACACTGTGTCCCCAGCGAGGAGGCGAGCGGTCTCACTGGTGACACAGACTCTGCCATTGCTCACTGCCCATACGGCCCCAGAGGCACCCGAGCAGGGGACAGAGCTGCCCCACACATGGTGTGACTCTTCCCCCGCTCCCCTGCTGCAGAGATTTATGGCAGAATTGGCATTTCTGGCTTTTTGATGGCTGTTGTTGCCTAGCTTTCCAGAGGCAGGACAGGAGCTATGCGTGGGACAGGTCTGTCTGGTCCAGGCATCAGCTGGAAAAGGGCATCCTGGCAGGCTGAGGTGAAGGATTTGGGAGGTGGGGAGCCTGGCGAAACCCAAGGGTGCTGCTGCCAGGGTCATGGCTGTGGGAGGTGGCCTCTGGGAATGGTAGGTGTGATTGGGAGCTCGGTCCACAGGAGCCATGCACACTTGTATTGAAAAGTGCTGGTTTCCTGCCTTCCTTTGTGTCATGATAAAACCTGGGATGTAAAACTGCTGACTGTACCTGGACAACTTCTTGTGGCAACTACAAAAGCTTTCATCTTCAGCAGGTCTCCCTTGTACGTTCATCTCCCATGAGTCCCTTCCTATGGGACACTTCACCTACGGGATTAAAAGGTGGTCAGGAGGATCTCCATGGGTTTTCTTTGCTAACTAAAGCTGGCTGGAGCTGAGAACATTGGGCATATTGTCCCTAATATTCTTCAGCACAGGTAGAATTAATGTCAGCTTTAGGAGCCATCACTCCGGGGGTGATATCTGTAGCAGCATAGTGGACTCCTTGATGCCTGCTTTAGTCAGGGGTCCTCAGCTCAGATCAGTGCTCCTGGCAGCACCCAGGAAATCTCTCGCATCACTTTCTGGGTGTGAATGAGCCTCCTTGTAAAAACTGCCCGAGTATTTTATCACTGAGTTCAGCACCGTGGGATGGAGCGGATCCTTGTATTCATCTCCTCAAGTGGTCTTGCTGCCATCTGGTCCTATCTGAGTGCTTCAGCTGTGTTCCACCTCAGCATTTGGCTGATGATGCTAATGATGCTAATCACTGTACCAGAAACTTCCCAGAGCCATTCGAGGAATCACAAGGAGTAAACCAAACCTGGGAGAGACTGGGACTCTGCATTTCCAGCTGCTGGGAGCAGCCAGGGCCGTTTGCTTTGGGTAGTTTGTTTTTTAAGTGGACACAGCCTTGGTTGCTGAAGGGACTTGGGCAGCCAATGTACTGGTGTGTCTGCTGCAGTGGGACACTGAGGCTTTGCTCTCCCTGGGTGTTGATGAAACGGTATATTCTGTTTCTCTGCTGCAATTCTGGACAGTCTCAGCTGTGTGTGGGTTTCCCTGTATTTGCTGAGCGTATCAGCAAGGCAGCTATGGGATGGAACTGCGAATCTTCAGGCGTTCTAGGAAATGTAAGGTATTATCTCACTGGTAGCAACCGTTGGAGAAGATGTGAACCCATCCCCTTCTGTCTGTCCCTGTATCAGACCCGCTCTTCTGTTTCTCCTTCGCAGATATTATGCAGATATTGCTAAAATGCCAGCGATCAGTGACCAGGACATGAGCGCGTACCTGGCGGAGCAGTCGCGGTTACACCTCAGCCAGTTCAACAGCATGAGCGCACTGCACGAGATCTACTCCTACATCACCAAGTACAAGGACGAGGTAAGATGTGGCGATGCAGAGTTAAGCCTGGGCTGCGAGCCGAGACGCTTTGCCCTTGCTTCTGTAGCCCCCTGCTTTTTCCTATAGAAAAACACCCTGTGAAATGCGGGAGAATGAAGTCCACGTCTGTTCTCAAGCTGGCAGGGAAGGAAAGGTTTGGGAGGCGTGGAGCCAGGCGCTGGTGTAGGCAGCGCTTTGTTCTCCTTATTTTCTGCAGTGAGTAATGTAGGAAACACCTATTTTTCTACGTATCTTTCTACATATTTGGCATGTGAGCTCAGCAGGGCTGCAGAGTTTGTGACGTTATCTCAGAGTGCCTCCTCTCCTGTCCACCACTGCGGTGTTACCAGTGCAGTGTGATTATACAGGCGGCGTCTGGCTCTGCTCCTCGGGGTTGCTGGAGGATGTGGCGGCCTCCTCAGTGCTTTGTGGAGATCAGTAAGAATGGTTAGAAACTCTATTGTAGCTTGTACAGATTAACTTGGTAAAGCACTGCTCAAATCCACACCCTGCGTCTTTTTATTAAAGCAATAAAATATGTAACTACAGTAAAATATGGATCTATCCATATAACGGGGTAGTGTAGGTTTTTATTGTCCTGATGAAGTGGACTGACAGCTGTGTTTGAATGGTGGCTTGTTTAGATGACAGAGTGCCAGAACATCTCCTTGCTTTTGAGCCGGCTGCTCACCCGCAGGGATTGGAAATGGGGTCCTTGCCGTACCCCGCAGCAATCCCAAAGGCATCTCCCGGTGCCTCTTTAGGATGTCAATGCAGGGAGTCCACGGGCAGCTCATAGCAGATCCAGCCCCTTGGGTCTGAGGTCTGGCATCGTGGTGGCCAAAATCCTCATGGAGCTGGGTGCTTTGCAGGGGTGAGGAGGAGGAGGGGTGGGAGGAAACCCTGGTGCTTGGGAAGGTGCCACGTGGTGGTCACTGTGCAGCTGGTGGCTACAAGTCCCCCAGGCCTTGAATAAATCCACCAAGGCCTGAGTGAGAGCAGGGTGGGAACCCCATGGCATTAATGGGCTGCCCTTTAGGGACACAGGTCCTCTTCTTGCCCCCTCACGGCATCCTGACATCTGTTGAGTGTCTTGCTGTTGCCTGCTCCCTGAGCATCACAAGTGTGTTCACAGCTCTCAGGAACTTCTTTTTATTATTTGTAATGGGATTAATAAATCGCAGCTGTTCCCTTTGTTTGTTTTCATTCATTAAGCACAATTATATGCAGCCCGATTGCACCCTCTTTGATGCAAAATGGGAGAGAATAATTTTTCCTGTTGTTCAGTGCAATAATACGCTGTCATTGGCTGTGAATGAAAATCATAATTAATTTTCATTTGGGTACTTGCATCTTGGTAATCAGTGGTCCTGGCTTCTTGCAGCAGGTGACAAACCTGGGTGTCTCTGTGCTCAGCACGAGTTTCCTTTGCTTTATTTCTGTAAGGCTGAGATAAAAGAGGAGCAGAGAGGGAAGAGGTTCCCCATCGGGTGTCTCTTACTGCCCCAGCAGACAGGGACCTGCCTGGTCCTCACCCAAAAAGTGTCCACCAGTGGCCGGAGGCTGCAGCGTGGTGGGTGCTGCACCGCACACCCCGCATCCAACCGCCGCCGCAGCAGCTCTTCATCAAAGGGAGCTGATTCCCCATTAAGAAGTTACCTGTAGGGCTCCTGATGGACTTTGCTTGCCTCCTAGGAAGTCTATTAATTATACAACAGTTTGTTTCCAATTATGCAGCCAATGAAATGGTTAATCAAGTCCCCTTTGACGGATGCCTTGATATTTAATTGCAAAAAAACCTTGCTCTCTCAACTAGCTCACCCGAGGAGATGAGATTTCTGTCAGGTTTGGTTTTTTTTACATCAGCTTCTCTGCTCTGCTGGCACAACCTTAGCGAGACAGGGCTCCTGACTGCTGGGAGGGCAACGGCCACTCTGTTTCACACTGAATTACTTCTTTCTCCCCACTCTGCACCTCAGCCTCCACCCTCCCATGGCTGCCAGTGCCTGCATCCATTTGGTATCCCCCTCCATCACCCCAGTGCCTCCCTGTTGTACCCCTTGGGGAGGGATGAGCGGGGTTTTACCACTGGCAGCAGCTAAGTTTGGTCTTTTTGTGCTCATGGAACCAGTCATGGCTTGATGGTGGTCTCTGAAGTGCAGCCCCTGTGCCTCCCTAGGGCGTTGTAGGTTTGTTGGGTTCACACATGTGGTTGGAAGGTGGCATCGTTTTGGTTTTCGAGGTTCCTCCTTCATTGGATGATGGACGTTGGTTTTCTTCATTTCCCCACATTTAAGTCAGCTTCTCATTAGTATCAGGCAGGTCCCTGGTGTTACTGCAGCCCCTCGGGTCCTGGGAGGCTCTGTCTGAGGGGTGGCAGCGTCCTCCACCTCACGCCTCCCTTAGTCCTTTCCTGCCCCAGTTAGGGACTGGAGTGACCCCGTGCATCTTCCCATGGGACCACATCCTCGTGTGCTGATGCCATCAACGACCCAGCACATCCACATCGAGTACCGAGGAGCTGCTCTGGGTAGGAAGGCACCTCCTCACCCTCTTCTTTTCCTGTTTTCCCCTCCCAGATTTTGGCCGCCTTGGAGAAGGACGAGCAGGCCCGGAGGCAGCGGCTGAGGAGTAAGCTGGAGCAGGCGATCGACACAATGGCCTTAAGCAGCTGAGGCGGCGGTGGCGCGATGCCAGCATCCTGGTGCCAGCATCCCGGGCAGCGGAGGCAGCAGGAGAAGGGGCGGGGGGG